GCCTAGGTGGCTTTGGACATTGGCACTGGATAAACATTAGAGCAGATTCGAGGCCTGCTCAGCTGCGCTCCAACCCTGCATGGAAAACTCTTCCTCTAGGTGACTGTTGCCTATAAGTGGGGAGGCAAAAGCTTGTCCACACTGAGCTGAACCATGTGAAGCACTTTCAGCCCTTCTAGCACAGTGGCCCAGAGCGGTCATTGTCACTGCCATGGTGGGAGTGCCAAGTCTAAGTCTGGGCCTAAAGTTTCTGTCTGAGGCCACCCCCCACCTGGGTAGGGACAGCCTACCCAGGACAAGCAACCAGCCTTGGCTGCCAGGTCCTGCTCCCCCTCCCCCACCCACACTAGCCTTCAGGATGCGGCCTCTACCCGTGTCCCTGACCTCGCCCCAGGCCCCACCAGGCTCCTTGGCATCCCACTGCAAGGCAGCCACGGCCCAGCAGACAGGCACAGGTCCTCTGGAGGCACAGTGTCCCCCCCACCCCATGCAAGGCCAACTTCCTGGTGGGCCTTCTGGGAGCCTCAGGGTCTGGCCACGCTCCTTCCTGGGTGGCATCTGCAGGGTCAGACCCCAGCCCTGGTGATCGGCTCTTCCTGCCAACAGTGATGGGGTGGGGGGTTCCTGACTTGCTGCCTGTGTCTGGAGGGAGGACTTCAGGACATGGCCCTCTCCTGTTCTTGCTTCAAGCCCTCCAGGGCTTCCAAACACACTGCTGCAGTGTGGACGGGCTTCCCCATCTCTCGCTCCATCCTGACCTGGTGACTCGTCCACACCAGGCACAGCTGACGCGCCCCGCGTCCCCAGCTGTGAACGGCAGTGCGTTCTCGCCAGGTTAGGTTCTTTGGTGCCATCCAGCACACGTTCACAGGTGGGGAGCACGGGTCTGGGATGGGGCAGAACCGAGGCAGCACAGAGGTGTAGAAGCTACTGGAGCGCTGAGAGCGAGCTGTGAAGTACTTTCAGCCCTTCTGGCACAGTGAGCTAGAACTGTCTGACCAGGGCCTGCTCTGGACATGTAGGCTGCAGCCAGGGTCTCCCACCTGGAGCCCCTCGCAAGGATCCACGTCAGAGAGCACCCCATGTGAGCCAAGCTCAGGATCCCAGAGAGGTAGGCATGCTCCTGCAGCAACATCCCACCCAGGTAGGGGGAGCTAAGGTATCCTCTATGAGGGACCAGCAAATGGCTTAATGTTACGTCTCTGGACTCCCACATGGGCGACCGCGGTTTGAGTCCTGGACCTGGCAGCTTAAAACTCCAGCTGGATGCGTATCCATGCCTACCCAAAATCCAGAGAGGAGAATGGAAGAGAAGGGATTGTGGTGTGGCCATCTCCCCCTAGGGGATGATTTCTCACTTTCTTTCTCTGTCTTTCTAGTAAGCACACATGCCCTATAGCAAAACTTTCTCTAAAAAATAATAAATAAGGTATCCTCTACAAGCCACATGGGGATCGCTGCAGGGAGAAGAAATGGCACAGTCGGGCCTCCGAGCGAGGCTTCAGAGGCCAGAACCCAGGCCCCAGCTCAGCCTCTGCTGGCCGTGTGCCTTGCTCTGGCCCTTCAGTCTCCTTGTGCCCAAAATGGGCCAAGCTAGTCCCCTGCCCTGTCCCAGACCTGATCCACTCCAGGCAGGCTCTATACACTGGCTAGTTAGATGGTGACATGCCCTCACTAAGGGCCAGCGGGGAGCTAGCTGAGCAGTCTCCAGCGTGAAGGGAATGGTGGGTGGAGGCTGCAGGGCCACCGGGGGCCCTCGGCTATGACAGGCCTTGAAGGCTGAACTCTGGGTGCATTCTGACTTTGGGGGCTATAATGATCAGATACATGTGACTCCAAAGCTTTTATTTTAAGAAAAGAAACGGGGGCCAGTCAGTGGCGCAGCAGTAAAACACAATGCCCTGTGAGGCCGACCCTCGTACGAAGGTTCTGAGTTAGCATCCAGAGACCTCCCTGGTGTGCCAAATACTCACATGCCCTGATCTGGACTGGCTGAGGCTGGGTGTGGACTGCAGCATCAAGGCCCTGTTGGGAAGGATCTCTCGCTGTTTCTTTCATGGAAAAAAAACTTTTAAAATATATTGTGCAGTAAAAAAGAGGAGGGGGAAACAGTCCCAAGCCCCAGAACTGGTCGAGCCCCAGGATGTGGCCTCTTGAGGACCCTGAACTCGATGGCTCAGCCTTGGGCTGAACAGTCCCCTGTGGCCCCACCTCCAGTCGCTGGATGAGCAACAGCCACGGTTGCTGGGCCAAACGCTGTTTTGGAGAGGTCCTCGGGGACTGTTGTTTTCAGAGGCAAATTGTGATCAGGCCTTTCTAGTCTTATCTCCCAAAGCCCCCACCAGCAGCAAAGGAGCCGTGGAGGGATGCCCCACTCCCACCCCCTAGCCCTACACCCTCACTTGTCCAGCAGGAGCAGGCCTTGAATAAGTGAGTCCAAGGACAGGAAATGCAGATGTGCCCCAGAAGGAAGACAGAGAAGGAAAACCCGGAAGTACATGAGCTCCTTGATCTGGTGACAGCCTTGATTGGACTCACCTGCTTTAGCAGCTGCAGAAATAATAGCATTTGGTGCCAAATTGTTTTGCTTACAAAGCAGCAGCCTCCTCTAAATATCAATGAGGGAGAGTCTCCAGGACAGAAAAGCTGGGAAGACAGAAAAGCCCAGGATGGAATGGCCAGCCTGCCCCTTATGTGGAAAGAAAGGGGGAGTAAGAATATGAATTTGCATAAAATTCACAAGGAGGAACAAGGGGGACAGAGGACTGTTATGTCCTTTTTTAAATTCTTTTAGTTACTTTTTTTTTTTTAAAGGTTTTTGCCATAGGCACATGCACTCACTCACCAGCGAGAGAGCCAGTGAGAGGGAAAGTGAGAGATCAGCCCCCAGGGAGAATGTCCTTTTTAAAATTCTTTTAGTTACTTTTTTTTTTTTTTTAAAGGTTTTTGCCATAGGCACATGCACTCACTCACCAGCGAGAGAGCCAGTGAGAGGGAAAGTGGAGATCCCCCCCCAGGGAGAATGGCCACACCACAATCTCTTCTCCATCCTCTTGAGATTTGGGGCATGTACACAGGTGCCCGCTGTGAGTTTCAAGCCACCTTTTTTTTTAAAGAGATTTTTTTGCTATAGGGCGTGTGTGCTTGTTGAGATGACAGAAAGTGAGAAATCGCCCCCCTCAGAGAGAATGACCACGCTACCGTCCCTTCTCCATTCTCCTCTTGGCATTTTGGGCCACACATGCACACACTCCCGGTGTGTGTCAAGCCACCATGTCCGGGACTTGAACCGCGGTCGACCATGTGGGAGTCCAGTGATGTAACCATTACCCCATCTACTGATCAAGCTGCCTTTTAAACTGCCTGCAGAGCACGTCACCCATCTGCTGTAAGTCTGGCATCTGTGAAGCAGTCCCCAAACAGCGCCTCTCCTTGTTTTCTTCACAGCAGGGCTGTGAGCGTTCGCTGTTGGAATACTGTTGATCATGGCAGCGACCAGTATTTCAGGTGCTGTGGGAAAGTGGGCTGTGGCATATTCTCCTGTGTCTGTGAGCACAGCTCCACCACCCCGAGGCTAGGCGTGGCCTCTCCCACCGAGCACGAACACTGCACAGCCTTCCAGGTGGGCTGGTACCTCTGCAACCCTGCATGTGCGATGCTGGCCTCACACGCTCCCTGCTGCCTACAGGTGGGCGGGACCAGCTCCGTCATTGCGTAGGCTGGTCACCTTTGCCCAAGTCATATTTGCAGACTTACATGGGCAACTGCGAAATGTACATGGGAACGTCAAAAAGTTTGTGGAAACATGGGACTGGTTCCAGAGCCTGGCAACTGGATCCTACAGGGCTGACTATGCAGTTCAAATCCTGGACCTGATGGCTTGAGAAATATGCTGGGCATGCGTGTGTGCACATACCTGAAATGCCAATAGGAGGGACAGGTGGAGGACAAGGGATGGTGGCCTGATCATCCAAGGGGGGAGCTTTCTCCTCTGCCTCTCTTTGTATCTCTTTCTGGTGAGTGTCTGCACCCACTAGGAAAACACAAAGCAAAACAAAAACTGTCCACAAAATAATGGTATTAAAGTATACGTTTATTGCAGTACAAACAAATTTTTTTGAGAGATTTTTGCTATAGGGCGCATGCGCTCGCCAGACAGAGAGAGACAGACAGAAAGTGAGAAATCGCCCCCTGGGGGGATGGCCACGCCGCAATCGCTTCTCCTCCATTCTTCGCTCAGGATCTTCGTACGCACACGCGCCCGGCATGAGTTTAAGCCACTGGGTCCAGGACTCGAACCACAGTCGACTACATGAGAGAATTAATGCTCTATCACTTTATTAAGGTCATTCTTTTTTTTTGGAGAGGTTTTTTGCTATAGGGCGCTCACCAGACAGAGAGAGACAGAAAGCGAGAAATCACCCCCCAGGGGGAATGATCACACCGCAATCCCTTCTCCTCCATTCTCCTCTTGGGATCTTGGGCACACACGCACACGCGCCCGGCGTGAGT